CCAGGTGCAGACAGGTGAGAGTTACCTGTGTCCCAGGTACCGACAGATGAGAGTTACCTGTGTCCCAGGTACCGACAGGTGAGAGTTACCTGTGTCCCAGGTACTGACAGGTGAAGTCAGTGAGGTGAGAGGTCCAGGTGTCGGCACACACGGTGAGCAGAGAGGAAACAATTTGTAACTGGAGACGACTGGAATCGTTCCGCTGTAACACAACTGAGAGACACACACTTATGAAAGGTGAACTTATTGATCCCGTGTATTGATCATTGGAAAAGCTTCACCTGATCAACTCACCACAGTCGGCTTCATCAGAAGCGTCGGGACAGTCGACCTCACCATCACACTGACCGTTACCATGGATACAGCTTCCTGTCTGACACTGGAACTGACCGGCTGCGCACGCAGCTGTTAAATATAAACAAACCATCAATGATCAATAAGCAGTGAGAATGATCCTGGTGTCCCGCCCTCTGACCTCTGACCCTGAGCTCACCTGGTGTCCCCAGGTCGACCCCAGAGGTGAAGTTGGCCCTGAATCCACGGCCGTGACCCAACTCGTCCGTGAAGAACCACAGTGTCATCTGATTGGTTGTTGAGAACAAGTCGTGGGCGGGGCCATCGCTGCCAGTGAGGACAGCTGGAAAGGAAACGTTCGTACCTGAGTCAGAATGACATTATCTGTGCACACGCACACCTGGAGGGGATTATGGGTAAAACATGTCCTCACCCAGTAAGGTGGAGTTTGGCCCTGCCCCGTCCCGCACCTCTACGACATCATAGGTCGCTTCAATGTCAAAGTCCAGGAAGTGGAGCTGGATGTTCTGACCATCAGGGGCGTGGAGGGTCCACCGACCTGCAGCAGAGAATCATGGGTAATGTCAGGGGGTATTCCAGAAAGCGGGTTCAGTGAAAACTCTGAGTGTGTTAACCCTGAAATGAGGGACACTCTGGGTTTTCAGTTCCAGACAGAGAGGTAAGTCAAACTCAGAGTCAATCACCATGGCAACTGACTCTGTGAACCTAACCTGCTCGCTGGCAGGTTTTCTATAAGAAACCCTGAGTTCACCCTGTCTCCTCCCTACTGCTGAGCCTGAAGCAAACTGGCAGACACACATGGGTTGTTCATATGTAGGAAATCTGATCGATATCAAGGCAGAATTAATTCGCAATACCTCGAGAGTGCACATCTGTGGTGTGTCAGATTTGATATGTGTGGCCGGCAAATTGAGTCTAATGAAAAACAGTACGGTTCAAAGAGATATTTATTGGGGAAAGACAACACATCTAAATGGGTCTGAAGATCCTCTCCCAGCGTAAAGCATTGTTAATGCTTTAATTCTTCCTGCATACAAACAACCCATGTGTGTCTGCCAGCTTGCTTCAGGCTCGGCAGTAGGGAGGAGACAGGGTGAACTCAGGGTTTCTTATAGAAAACCTGCCAGCGAGCAGGTTAGGTTCACAGAGTCAGTTGCCATGGTGATTGACTCAGAGTTTGACTTACCTCTCTGTCTGGAACTGAAAACCCAGAGTTTCCCTCATCTCAGAGTTAACACACTCAGAGTTTCCCTCATCTCAGAGTTAACACACTCAGAGTTTCCCTCATCTCAGAGTTAACACACTCAGAGTTTCCCTCATCTCAGAGTTAACACACTCAGAGTTTCCCTCATCTCAGAGTTAACACACTCAGAGTTTCCCTCATCTCAGAGTTAACACACTCAGAGTTTCCCTCATCTCAGAGTTAACACACTCAGAGTTTCCCTCATCTCAGAGTTAACACACTCAGAGTTTCCCTCATCTCAGAGTTAACACACTCAGAGTTTCCCTCATCTCAGAGTTAACACACTCAGAGTTTCCCTCATCTCAGAGTTAACACACTCAGAGTTTCCCTCATCTCAGAGTTAACACACTCAGAGTTTCCCTCATCTCAGAGTTAACACACTCAGAGTTTCCCTCATCTCAGAGTTAACACACTCAGAGTTTCCCTCATCTCAGAGTTAACACACTCAGAGTTTCCCTCATCTCAGAGTTAACACACTCAGAGTTTCCCTCATCTCAGAGTTAACACACTCAGAGTTTCCCTCATCTCAGAGTTAACACACTCAGAGTTTCCCTCATCTCAGAGTTAACACACTCAGAGTTTCCCTCATCTCAGAGTTAACACACTCAGAGTTTCCCTCATCTCAGAGTTAACACACTCAGAGTTTCCCTCATCTCAGAGTTAACACACTCAGAGTTTCCCTCATCTCAGAGTTAACACACTCAGAGTTTCCCTCATCTCAGAGTTAACACACTCAGAGTTTCCCTCATCTCAGAGTTAACACACTCAGAGTTTCCCTCATCTCAGAGTTAACACACTCAGAGTTTCCCTCATCTCAGAGTTAACACACTCAGAGTTTCCCTCATCTCAGAGTTAACACACTCAGAGTTTCCCTCATCTCAGAGTTAACACACTCAGAGTTTCCCTCATCTCAGAGTTAACACACTCAGAGTTTCCCTCATCTCAGAGTTAACACACTCAGAGTTTCCCTCATCTCAGAGTTAACACACTCAGAGTTTCCCTCATCTCAGAGTTAACACACTCAGAGTTTCCCTCATCTCAGAGTTAACACACTCAGAGTTTCCCTCATCTCAGAGTTAACACACTCAGAGTTTCCCTCATCTCAGAGTTAACACACTCAGAGTTTCCCTCATCTCAGAGTTAACACACTCAGAGTTTCCCTCATCTCAGAGTTAACACACTCAGAGTTTCCCTCATCTCAGAGTTAACACACTCAGAGTTTCCCTCATCTCAGAGTTAACACACTCAGAGTTTCCCTCATCTCAGAGTTAACACACTCAGAGTTTCCCTCATCTCAGAGTTAACACACTCAGAGTTTCCCTCATCTCAGAGTTAACACACTCAGAGTTTCCCTCATCTCAGAGTTAACACACTCAGAGTTTCCCTCATCTCAGAGTTAACACACTCAGAGTTTCCCTCATCTCAGAGTTAACACACTCAGAGTTTCCCTCATCTCAGAGTTAACACACTCAGAGTTTCCCTCATCTCAGAGTTAACACACTCAGAGTTTCCCTCATCTCAGAGTTAACACACTCAGAGTTTCCCTCATCTCAGAGTTAACACACTCAGAGTTTCCCTCATCTCAGAGTTAACACACTCAGAGTTTCCCTCATCTCAGAGTTAACACACTCAGAGTTTCCCTCATCTCAGAGTTAACACACTCAGAGTTTCCCTCATCTCAGAGTTAACACACTCAGAGTTTCCCTCATCTCAGAGTTAACACACTCAGAGTTTCCCTCATCTCAGAGTTAACACACTCAGAGTTTCCCTCATCTCAGAGTTAACACACTCAGAGTTTCCCTCATCTCAGAGTTAACACACTCAGAGTTTCCCTCATCTCAGAGTTAACACACTCAGAGTTTCCCTCATCTCAGAGTTAACACACTCAGAGTTTCCCTCATCTCAGAGTTAACACACTCAGAGTTTCCCTCATCTCAGAGTTAACACACTCAGAGTTTCCCTCATCTCAGAGTTAACACACTCAGAGTTTCCCTCATCTCAGAGTTAACACACTCAGAGTTTCCCTCATCTCAGAGTTAACACACTCAGAGTTTCCCTCATCTCAGAGTTAACACACTCAGAGTTTCCCTCATCTCAGAGTTAACACACTCAGAGTTTCCCTCATCTCAGAGTTAACACACTCAGAGTTTCCCTCATCTCAGAGTTAACACACTCAGAGTTTCCCTCATCTCAGAGTTAACACACTCAGAGTTTCCCTCATCTCAGAGTTAACACACTCAGAGTTTCCTTCATCTCAGAGTTAACACACTCAGAGTTTCCCTCATCTCAGGGTTTCCACTAACCCACTTTCTGGAACACTCCCCTGGTGTTTGTTTACATGTTTATATTTGTTTTCTGTGTTTACTTGTTTATCTGATGTCGTCCTGATTGTTTTGTCTTGTTTATGTATTTATAAGGTGTTGTATTTCCTCCATAGTGTTATTTACATGTTTGTTTGTTAATATCCCTGTTGTTTACATGTTTCTTCATCAGCACCTGTACAGGTATCAGTACTCACAGTAAGCCTCGTTCCCGTAGGATTGTGGGTAGTTTGGTGAGCTGAAGGTGGAGTTTGGCTCCCAGAGGTCAAAGGGTCCTCCACAGTCGGCTGGACCAATCAGAGCAAAGCAGAGGGGGCAGGGTCATACTGTGTCCAGATCACAGGTGTGTACATGTTTCTGAAGAACCGTCTGATTCTGACATACTACTTTAGGAGGTGTTTTACCTGGTGTAGGGGGTGTGGTCTGTGTCTGACCTGGTGTAGGGGGCGTGGTCTGTGTCTGACCTGGTGTAGGGGGCGTGGTCTGTGTCTTACCTGGTGTAGGGGTGTGGTCTGTGTTTCACCTGGTATAGGGGGCATGGTCTGTGTTTTACCTGGTATAGGGGGCGTGGTTGTTGGTGGCGGTACATTGGTTGGTTCAGGGGGGGCGGGGCCACAGGGCTCAGAGGTCAGTGTGATGTCATCCAGAGCGATGTCATTCCTCAGCCCTCCTTTCTTCAGAGCTTCAAACGCCACCTGCAGAGGTCAGAGGTCAGAGGTCACACTGATTGCTGATCAATCAGCTGACTGATTGAACGTGTCACTGATCAGAACTCACCGTCGTCTCCGTTGTCAGGTTGAGGGTCACCTGGCCGTAGTTCCAGTTGTTGCCATAGTTACCGTCTCTCTGGAACACCACGGTGACATTGGGGTCAGACAGCAGGACTCTGAGACGGTGGACGTTGTCTCCGAACATGTGGTACCTGCAGACGGACGCTTTGTTTACTCTCTGGTTGTTTGTTTACATGACCCTTTGTTTCTTTTGTCCTGCGTTACTTTTTGTCTCAACTGTTCATTTATTTGTCTGTTTGTTTGTGTAATTTGTTGGTTTGTGTCTGTTCACTTCTTTTTATTTTCACATTTCCTGTTTCATGTCTACAGTGTTTGTTGTCATGTTGTTTACCTGTTTATTTTTTTATTTCCTCATTGTTTACATGTTGTTTATTTTCCTTTTTGTTTAAATGTCCAGTTGTTTATTTCCTAGTTGTTTACATGTCCATTCTTTTATTTTCCTCATTGTTTATATGTATTTTGTTTATTTTCAAGTTGTTTATATTTCCTTGTTGTTTACCTTGTTATTTTTTATGTCCTTATTTGTTAGTTTATTTTTTTATTTTCTTAATTACGTGTTGTTTACATGTTTATTTGTTTACTTTCTTTGTTTAATAGACACAATGGGTTCTTTCTTGTTGTTTCCATGTTTGTTTGTTTACTCCTGTGTTGTTTACCAGAAGCTCAGACACATGGGCTGTGCGGGCGGAGTCAGAGGGAGGCTGTGGATCCTGAAGCTCTTCAGCCATTGGCCTGGACTCAGAGGAGTGACGATGTAGAAACCTGATGGCGTCACACACAGACTGGTCAACAAACAACAGAGTCCTGTTTCAGAGAGCAGGATCAGTGAAACTCTGAGTTTGTTCAGCCTTAGATGAAACTCTGAGTTTTCTGTTTCACAAAACCAGTTCAGTGTAACCCTGAGTCAGTTACTATGGCAACATACTCCGTGAAGCTAACCTGCTGAGTCACAGGTTTGCTTCATGTCAGCCTGAGGCTGAGCGTGTAGCAGGAAGTAGAAACATGGCGTGTCCTTTAGTGAATGAAGTGGTGGAGGTTGAGGCCCAGTGTATTCAGAGGCTGTTGTGTAAGGAGAAGGTGATTAGAGCCTGTTTGGATGTCTCCCTGGAGGAGTGTCTATATGAAAGATACTGTTTGACCTCACACTCTATCATTTATCTAACAATCTGTTCCACCCACATATATCACATATTACACATCCTGGATTTACATTATCATCACAGCACATTTTATGCATTGTCCTTTGATTCTTTTCTTTATAACATCAGAGACACTGAACACATCAGAGAGACAGCGGTTTGTCGGCCCGTAAGAAAAGTGTCTCTGGCTCTGAAAAGACTTTGGACCCTTGTTGTGGTTTTCCCTGGACATAAATCACAATCCATTATTAAAGTAATTACCACGGAGCATCGGTGGCTCAGTGGATGGAGCAGACGCCCCATGATCAGACGCAGCGGCCGCGGGTTCAAACCCAGCCTGCTGTCCTGTGCTACTTGTCGTTCCCTCTCTCCCCATAACGTTATGCTGTCCTGACATTAAAAGAAACAAAAGCCCAAAAAATAATCTTTAAAAAAAGAACTGCAGGTGTGTCAGTGTTAATGAGAAATGAATCTACGTGGACACATGATGAGGTCATTGATCAAGACGTCTCATATATTCAAAGATGGAAGTGGCTCATTGATGGGACTCAACATCCCATAATAGCTCCATCAGCCTGGTGTCCACGTCGTCATGACGTCAGGATCAGTTCCAGTCTGTTTAATATCTGTGTGTTTGATGTTGAGTTTGTGCCCAGTGTGTTTGGGCTCCATCACATTACAGCTGAATATTTTATATTCAAATATATGAACACTGTTACATGTTTCTGTATGTTAGACACATGAGCTCATCACATGACATCACATCACTTCACATATGAACACGCTCTGCAGGCTGTTCCCATCACACCTCACTCTGTTCAGCTGATGGAGCACATTGATTTTTCATGTCTTCAAATCTCTGATTCAGTTTTGGATGAAATCAGTGGCTCTGCTTTTAACTCCACTTCCTGTCTCTGAGGATCACGTTATCTGCACTCTGCTGATGTCTGTTGGTGCTCACTGTGAACCAGCTTCCCTCAGGCTGAACATACTCAAGAGCTGATTGAACTGACTCTGATCAGCTGCTCTGTTTCTCAGCTCAGGCTCAGACATCAGGATCAGGATCAGGATCAGGATCAGGACCAGGATCAGGATCAGGACCAGGACCAGGATGAGGATCAGGACCAGGATCAGGATCCGGACCAGGATCAGGATCAGGATCAGGATCAGGATCAGTCAACTCAGAGATTGGGATTAGGCTCAGAGTTTGTTGAGCCTGCTTTCTGAAATAGGGCCCTGGATCACCATCATATTGTGTTGTTTGTTTGTTTGTGACGCTGTTGAGCTGACCTGATTGGTTACCGAGCGTGTGGTCGACACTCGGGCCACTCAGTGGAGGAAACGTGGCGCCGCTGGTTCGAATCCAATCACCGTCGTCTTCCTGCTGCTGCTGCCAGAAACACAGACCGCCCTCAAAGGTACAGGTGAGCTTCACCTGGTCTGAACACACACACACACACACGCAGAGCTGCGGTCACACAGCGGCATTCAGGTCACGTATGTGTTGAGTGAAGAGTTACCGGACAGGTCGGAGGTGTCTACGGCGCTGTAGGTGGCGTTGAACCCGGACAGATTGTTGACATCATCAGACACAAACTCCACAGATGATTGGTTGCTCAGCAGCCACACGGTCCCAGGAGGGGTGGAGCCTGAGAGCTCAGCTGCCAGTCAGAAACAAACAGGTTGTCAGGTCGTAAAGAAACATAGTCAAAACATGGCGCTGATCATGGTGACATGCAGTAGCAGTGTGTGAGAGTAACTGAGTGTCTTGTGTGGGAACTGTGGTTTTCACTGGTTTTTTTGTTGTTTGTTTTTTGAATCAGCGTGGTCTTGTTTATTTATTTTTTAATACCGAGTCATCATGGATTTTATGGGTGTTTTTTTCCTAAACCTGGTTGCCCTTGGGACTGCGGTCAACTTCCAACTGAGCAACCGATCCCACAGGCTCAGCTTCAGCCATGATGGCGTCGATCTCACTTGATGGCATTCTGCCAGAGATCCGGAGGAACCGGGCTGGAGGTTTTTGCCCAGACCGGTTGACATCAGCAGGGGAAAGGCAAACAACACTCCACAGACCTGGAGGCTGTCAGCGGCACGAACGAGGAAGCAAGGCTCGAGAGGAGGCGTGCGCCAGCGCCTGCAAAGACTCTGCTGCTTACCTCTTCCCTCAGTTGTCTTTGGCAATGTGCAGTTTGCAAGACTGTCAAAGTAAAAGAATCTGTATGTAGTCCCCACATTGAATTATTATCTGTCTCACTGCGCCCATTTTATTTGCCACGGGAAATCCCACAGGTATTTTTAACAGTGGTGTATATCCCTGAGCTAACATGGCAGAAGCAGCGTCCTCCATTGCTAAACTTCTTTTCAATCAATCAATCAATTTTATTCATAAAGCCCAATATCACAAATCACAATTTGCCTCACAGGGCTTTACAGCATACGACATCCCTCTGTCCTTATGACCCTCGCAGCGGATAAGGAAAAACCCCCCAAAAAAAACCCTTTAACGGGGAAAAAAAACGGTAGAAACCTCAGGAAGAGCAACTGAGGAGGGATCCCTCTTCCAGGACGGACAGACGTGCAATAGATGTCGTACAGAACAGATCAGCATAATAAATTAACAGTAATCCATATGACACAATGAGAGAGAGAGAGAGAGAGAGAGAGAGAGAGAGAGAGAGAGAGAGAGAGAGAGATGCAGGTAATGACAGTAGCTTACAACAACATTATTGAAAGTAATAATATTATAGTTATAGTTCTGGCTACTGTGGTACAATATGTTGAAAGTATGTATTAATATCTGGCAGTATACATGTGTGACAATAGTCATATGTGTATAATAACAGTAGAAGTATGACTAATGACTAATGATGGCAGCAGCAGCAGGAGGCATCTGGCAGGACCACGGCAGCAGCACAACCACACACGTCACGCTGTCCAGGCACCGCTGTGATATGAGTTAATCTGAGAGACAGTGGAGCACAAAGATCAGCTGTGAGGGTCCTAAGGACAGAGGGATTTGCCCTGACGCCCCACATTTAATCTTTGGTGATTTTAATACTTGCAGCCTGAGTCAGCATCTTGGGCATCTGTACCAGGATGTAAAATGTCCAACGCGACATGTAGAACACTGGATTTGTGCTACTGCACTATGAAGGGGGCTTACAAATCTTTTCCACTGGCTCCACTTGGCTCTTCTGACCACAACTGTGTCCTGCTTGCTCCGGTTTATCAGCCGGCTCTCAAGAAGGGGAAAGTTGAGCGCAAAGAGGTCGCTCTGTGGACAGACGGCACTGTTCGTGAACTGAATGGTTAGACTAGACTTAGACTTCTTTAATGTCCATCAAACTTTACATAAAATGGTTGTTTGCATATTACAAACTGGGGTGTTTTTAAGACTCCTGTACAGATTTAATAACAAGCCTTGGGTCAGTAAATCCCTGTAGGTCACTATCAGGGAGATATTATTCAACACAAAGAAGCACAAAAATTGGTGAAAAGGGAAATTAGGCTGGCCAAAATTCAGTACATGGACAAGGCATATGATGAACTTCGGAGTGGTCATTCTCGTTCCACATGGAGAGGAATTAAGTCTATGGTAGGAATTCAGGAGAAGGAAAAAGTGTCTAATGCTGACAAATCTGACTCGACCCTGGCAGAAGAACTGAACCAGTTTTATTTGAGATTTGACTCTAAGGACTTTTCTGATGATCTATCCAAATTCAGGGCTGCTACATTTGAAATCAGCGTATGGAGCACTTTTGAAAAGACGAATGCTTTGAAAACTCATGGGCCTGATGGCATCAGCAGTTGACTACTTAAATGTTGTGCCCCATTCTAAAGTGATATCTTCACGTATCTTCAGTGGTCCCTGTCACTTAATAAAGTTCCCTCATTATGGAAAGAGTCCATTATTGTCCCAGTGGCGAAGGTACCATTACCAAAGATATTGAATGATTATTGTCCTGTGGCCACAGGCTCGCCTCAGGGGTGCGTCTTGTCACCACGACTGTTCATGCTTTACACTAATGACTGTAAGAGCATGTTCGAGTCAAGGTTCATAATAAAATTTGCTGATGACTCCGTGATTGTCGGCTTCTTGCAGCACCATGAGGTGGGCCATGGACCTGTGCTTGACTATTTTGTTAGATGGTGTGAGGACACTTACCTACAACTTAATGTGTCAAAAACAAAAGACATGATTCTTGATTTCCGCAGGAATCCACCTGTCACAGCCCAAACCTTTGTCGAAGGTACAGCGGTGGAAGCCAATAGTCAATATAAGTATTTAGGCACCATCCTGGACGACCAACACAGATGCTATTTTAATGTTGACACAAAGCTTCTTAAATGTTTTATTCATCTTTTATTGAGTCCATCTTAACTTTTGCTTTCATCTGTTGGTTTGGAAACCTCAGCATTTCAAACAACAACAAGCTGAGGAATGTGGTCAAACTCTGCTCAAAAACAATAAGCATTAGCCCGAATGATCTTGAATATGTGTATCAAGCTAGAGCCACTCAGAGGGCAAAGGTCATTCTGGTGAACCCTCTCCATCCTCTTCATGCAGAGTTTCAGCTTCTCCCATCTAAGAGAAGGTCTACTTTCTCCTGTAGGGCCAAATCAAACAGGAACCTTACATCCTTTGTTCCATCTGCCAGTAGCTTGTTGGGAACGATCTACCTGTGAAACTGTGATGATTGTTTATTTACCTGTATTGTTTTATATTGTTATGTAAGATTTATGGTGCTGTTGTCATGTGACATATGCGTGTTTTAACTTCTGTTGCAAATCAAATTGTCCTTTGGGGACATTAAAGATTTTCAAATCAAATCAAACACAGAGACAATACACACACACACACACACACACACACACACTGTCGTCCTGTGTGTGTGTGTGTGTGTGTGTGTGTGTGTGTGTGTTGTGTACCTGTCAGCTGTTTGTTTGTTCCGGCACCTTCGTACAGTCTCAGCGTGTCGGCGTGTTCTTCAGTTTCAAAAAACAGGAAGTCAACACGAACAGAGAATCCTTCGTCCACACTGTAAACAACATTTCACTGTAAATATCAGTCCAATCACAACAAACATACAAACAAACAAAGAGATCATTAAAATGTTTGTGCTGTGTGTGCTGCGTTCAGGTACCTGATGATCCAGCGGCAGACGCTGCTGCTGTCATACATCTCTGAGTCTGATGAACTGAACCAACCGCTCTGACCGCTCAGCACAAACTGTCCGTCACACGTTGTTGCTATGGAGATGAGAGCAATGATGTCACAGGAAGTTTGAGCAGTCAAAGATCTCATAATGAGACAAGTCGCCACCATTTTGGACTGAAAGAGGAGCTCCAGTCGTTAAATTTTCTGGCTGTGATTCGTCTGTTTATAAAACTGCAACTCCTCCGCCCGCCTCACCTGTGCTGTTTGTTTACCTCTGACATCATTCCTGCTGTTTGTTTACCTCTGACATCACTCCTGCTGTTTGTTTACCTCTGACATCACTCCTGCTGTTTGTTTACCTGTGACATCACTACTGCTTGTTTACCTGTGACATCACTACTGTTTGTTTACCTGTGACACGGACTCTGCTGTTTGTTTACCTGTGACATCACTCCTGCTGTTTGTTTACCTGTGACATCACTACTGCTTGTTTACCTGTGACACGGACTCTGCTGTTTGTTTACCTGTGACATCACTACTGCTGTTTGTTTACCTGTGACATCACCACTGTTTGTTTACCTGTGACATCACTACTGTTTGTTTACCTGTGACACGGACTCTGCTGTTTGTTTACCTGTGACATCACTACTGCTGTTTGTTTACCTGTGACATCACCAATGTTTGTTTACCTCTGACATCACCAATGTTTGTTTAACTCTGACATCACTACTGTTTGTTTACCTGTGACACGGACTCTGCTGTTTGTTTACCTGTGACATCACTACTGTTTGTTTACCTGTGACATCACTACTGTTTGTTTACCTGTGACACGGACTCTGCTGTTTGTTTACCTGTGACATCACTA